AATTATAATAATTATTAATCATTTTAAAGATTAAAATTTAAAAAACAGTAAAACACAAAACACTTCGATAGAGAGAAGAGAGAACTCTCTCTGAACCCTAGGTCCCCTAGCTTCATGCTTTCATCTTCTACTTTTCCTTCGTCTTCATCGCCAGTCGTTGATTCGTCGATCGTCGTCGTTGTCGCCACTCGCCCGTCGGACATAGGACAGAGGACAGAGATACTCGAGTGACAGAGAATAGCTACTCAAAGAAGAGTCGTTGTCGCCACTTGTCGACCATCATCGCTTCAACCTTCGTCTATCGTCGCCGAGTCGTCGACTGCTATTGCCGTCGCCCATCGGACTCTCTCTCATCGTTGACCTCAACTCTCGCAACGGTCCTCTCTCTCTCTCTCTCAATCTCTCTATCTCAGACTCTCAGTCTTTTACATATAACCCAGGATGTGTGCATACATATCTCGTTGGGGATTCGGGTCTTTGACGGGGAATTCACCCTTTCGAGATCAGGGATGAAGAAGGGACTCCTTTCCCTGCCAAGGATCAGAGACGGGGATAGGGGGTGATTTAGGGGTCGGGGTCAGGGATGGGTAATGTAATCCCCGCCCCATTTCCATTCCTATACCCCACAAATAATTTGGGTTGATCAATACAAATTGTTGTTTAAACCTTCAACATCAATTTGACGTTTCAGCTATGAATGTCAATAATTGGTCACACATGCATTTGATCAACCCAAGAGTCCGCGTTTTGTGCACTGGTGGGTTCACTGGATGTGTGAACCCACCAATCTTAATCGACCACGTCGCCCAGCCAGTTGTTTCGTAATGTTGCATGAACCCACCATTAACAAGGTCTAGTCAGTTCAACCGGCCACAAAAAAAGAAAATAGGACTCAAAAACACTCAGCCTGCGTTCCTCTTCATTCTCCCTCCATTTTGCAGTGTGTTGCTGCTTTTCCTCCACCGAACCCTATTCACACACTGACGACCATACCACAGAGGACGGTGACCCATACCAGCGGTCATCGGTGGCGAGAGCTCTAACAGTACGTTTTCTAGCTACTTCTTCTTTTCCTCCCTTCTTCTGTGTTGTTGTTGCTATGATTGCATTTGGAAATAATGCAAATGGAGCCTAAATCCCGGTACCAATGCATATTTACATTGATAATAAGATGTAAAAGTACATCCAATAAAAGATAAATAAATTTACATTTAAGTTGGCTTTTGATAAAAAAAAAATAAAAAAAACATATGCTTTATTGGAATTCATTTTTGCATAGTTACAACTAAAAGTCTGTTTGGTAAGAAGATAAATTTGTGGTGCAAAATTAATCCAATTTTACAATTTATATGAACTATTTTACACTCTACATATTTGCATTCACACTTATTTATTTACATTGTAGGATGAGGGTGCAGACCAAATCACCACAAACTGTATCATGAAGACGGTGCAGACCAGACCACCAAAACCGTAGCATGAGGACGTAGCAGAGAGAAAATCTAGAATATGTTTCAAAAACCTGGGCGACTTCTCAGTCCGTGAGTGGTAGGGCTTTTAGGCCCATTAATTCGTCAGGAATATACGGACAAATTAACCCCTGTCGTCCGCAATTTAAGTATCACCCATGGAGGAAATATCACATGTCCAACGCCACCACCACCACCAACCGCAGCACACCCCAGAAGAGGAGGAAAAAGAAGAAGAAGAAGTGGAGGAGAAGAGAAGAAGAAGGAGAAGAAGAAGAGGAGGTCAAAAACATACCGCCGGAGCTTTCGCTGCCGATGACCGCTGGTACGGGTCACCGTCTGCTATGGTATGGCCGTCGCTGTGTGGATAGGGTTTGATGGAGGAAAAGCAGCAACAGAGGGAGGAATGAAGAGGAATGCGGGTTGAGAGTTTTCTGAATCCTGTTTTCTCTTTTGTGGCCGGTTGAACCATTTATCTCATGTTAACGGTGGGTTCACGCGTTAATATTATGAAACAGCAGGCTGGATGACGTGGCCGACCCGTGGGTTTATTGGACACATGAACCCACCAATCTTAATGTTATAAAACAGCGGGCTGGGTGACGCGTGGTTGATTAAGATTGGTGGGTTCACGCGTCCAGTGAACCCACGGGTGCACAAAACGCGAACTCAACCGAAAACGTTTTATGTAAAAACAGCAATGGTTCCAAGAACAACATAAATCTCCCACCAAAACTAAACTCTTTCAACGGTAGGAGATAAGAGGTGAAACTGCGCACATCTGAAAAGCCAAGACCTGATTTGTTTGCAATGCAGCTCTTTTGTACTGATGCCGTAGTTTGGGACTGCAAATTCTGATTCTGTTTTGTTTTGGTTGTTTGAAATGCAAATGAAAGAAAACAAAACCTGAAGCGAAATAAACTTGCAGCAAAAGCAAATAGAAATCTGTGCTTCTCTCATAACTCCCATTAATTTCTATTAATGCAAAGGAAATTGCACCACAAGCAAACATATATAGAATGGAAAAGGGGATGAATGTAGGTGGATCCTAAGTTTCTGTTTGGTTGCAAGTATAGATTTCATTTACATCGGTACAAATACATAGGAGTATAAATTGACTGCAAATCCTAGTATACTTTTGCTTCACATTTTACTTTTTTTTGTTAGTTTATAAAAAGTAAAATGATGTGGTCGCCAATTTATATGAAAGACAGTTATGATAGAAAGAAATGGTACATATTTTGCATCAATTTGTCATGCAAATTTATACTGCTAATGGATGCAAATGAGACAAAAAGTACAAATTTTGCATCAGGTAAAAGTGCAAATCATAATTACAAATGAAAGAATGCAAAACTAAACTACATGGTTGGAAATCAAAATCCCCAAATACACAACACATTACATTGCAAGCCGTTGCAACATATTGACATCAGCTCAATGAAACTCTCATAGGATACTAGAAGCATTAGCTCGAATAGAATCATATTGAGGGTTTAAGTAAGGGTGTCAATGGACCGGTTTTGGATTGGACCCCATTCAAACTAAAATTAATTTGGATGGATTGGACGGACCAACAAGGCATATTGAATTGGACCAGTCCAGACTTAATGGTCCAAAGTGTTCATTGGATTGGATTGGACCTGGTCCACCACTAATGAATTTATATTGCCAATATCTGGTCCATTAATAGAAGATTATAAGAATATAGATGTCAATGGATCAGGTTTGGGTTAAAATCAATCTAAATTAAAACAAATTTTAACAGATATGATGGTCCAAATATTGAATTGGACCGATCCATAATGGTCTAAATATTTCATTGGATTGGATTGGACATTATCCATTTGTAATGGACACACATTGGACTTGATTGGATTGGACCAAATCAAGTCCAATTGACACCCCTAAACTTAAGGAATGAGGAATCAGGAGTCTCTCAACCACCCGCCAGGTTGCAGTAGAATGTGCAGAGCTAAACCCTTAACCGTGACAAAAAAAAAAGCTTGTTGCCTCAACATGGCAAAATTGCACAGAAGAAAAACCAGACTGCAACATGCAAGTCTTAGGGGGTGTTCAACAACACCCCTTAGTGTGACAGAAAATAACAGTTTTAAAAATCCAGTTGCAGACTTCTTATAGGGCCATCAGATCAAGCAAAAAAAAAAAAAAAAATCCAGTGTGACATATAAACCTGTTTGTGGGTCGGGCTTTGGATTTGGCCCATGAACATCTTATACTGCTATATGCTCAGGCTTTAAGATGGGCCCATTCAAAATTTAGCAAAAATAAGCCCGGACCTAGCCCATAAACAGGTCTGCTGCCATGTGAGTGCTTGGAGACCATTTTATTTGTGTAGTAGCTAAGGACACGTTGATCAAAGGTTGCCTGCTATTAGAAAGGTCCTGTTAAAAGCGAAATAGGGTAAACAGAAGGCTCAAATGGTGTGCAAAAGGACTATGTTCCATCATTTTGAGGGTGTATTAGTTTCCCTGTCTTTCCCTATTTTCCTTCAAACCAAACATAACCTTAACTGTCCCATATGAAAAGGGATCCTATATCCCTATCATTTTGCTTCCTGTCTTATAAATAAATAGCCATCCTCTATCCCCATTTTCATTCATATAAAATAAAGTTCCAAGCGTCAATTTGATACACACTATGTCACATCTTAGGTGGGAATGTGGGATTAGCTGAAGGAAATATCTGTTGGGTGGCGTTGTCCAACCAATGATTACTCTCCACACTTGTAATTTGAACCAGGGGTGCTCATGGTTCAATTGGACTTGTTCCCTTTTGTTTTTTTGAAGCGGATGAATCCCCATCTGCTCCTCACAGAGCACTCTTTACACCAACCTCACAGAATGTATCAGCCACATATCAGGAGCATCTCCCATACTCCCATGTTTATTCATGAAAGATGTTTCCAATATACAGTGGAATGTAACTGTGAGGTCAGTGTGAAGAGCAGATCCCACTTTAACCCGGATAGAGGTTTATGGTTTAATAAAAAAATTATTTAATTTTTATCTATTTTTTAAGAATATTAACAGAGAAAAAAGAAAATGAGAGATGGGGGAGAGATTGAAGCACAATCTCAGATCTCAGAACAGAGAGAGAGAGGCGAGATCTCAAATCTCAGATTTGAGAAACCATTCGGCCCGGACGGTCCAATCACTTGGGCTATGTTTGGTTTGAAGGCAAAGGTAGGGGAAGGTAAGGAAACTCATACAAGGTTTGTAAAGGTTTCCCTATCTTTCTCTTCCTTTCCCTACTTTTTCCTTCAAACCAAACACAACCTTAAACCATCCATAATCTCACTAAATATGTTACTTTCCATGAAATCGTCCCGAGTTAAACATCTATAATCAAGTGATTAGATTGGTTGATGTTAGAATACAGATTCACAGATACCAGAAAGTAAATGAACAATGAATGAAAACTACTCAACAAAATGGCGGATTGTATTGAATGGATGACACGGACAACGCTTGACACTTCTGTCATTGACATCAGCAGTTCCAAAAAGGATGTGATTCATCAAATAATGGCTTTAACAAAGCACTAAAAACGAATATGCTGGAATCTGAAGATACCCATGTCTCTGCTTGCAACTTGGAAACGACATTGCTCTTGAATCATTCTCCTTTTACTAGGATACACATCTCTGATTCATAAAACGAACCCTTCTGCAACACTGATATATACGAACAGTATAATGAGACAACTTTGTATCTTCTTCAAGATGGTAGCCTCTAAACTGCTGTCACTGATTTTTCACTGTCCATAAAAGAAATTGTTTAGATGGGCAGGAAACATTTTCTGACCAAACTAATTTGGCTAATCTCCAGCATAAACTAGACCATTTCAGATCAACATTGACTAGTTACCACCTTCCCCTGAACTGAAAACGAAAGTTGAAAGCTAAAAGAGTGCACAGATCTATAAAATTTATTAATCAAAATAAAATTTACAGAAAAGCAGCAAGCAAACAAAAGCCTCGAGACAAAAAAAGGAAAAAAAATCGAAATTTAAGCTTGCTTTACAAGGCTTCATGACCAACACAAATACAGTACAGAGACAAATGCATGGCTGGTCAACATTGTATCGTCGAACTGGAAAAAAAAAGGGACAAAATAAGGGTCACCAAGCTCAACAGAAAGCAACCAATGAGCACAAACAGTTGAGCAAAATGCTAGAACAAGAAGCCATTTTGTTGTTTTCCATACTTTGAACATCTATCACAACCATCAATGGGGTGCAGAATTTTTCAATCAGAAAATTTTCAAATTATGTTTCTGCACTTCTGTACAGAAAAAGGTTCTCAGCCTCTATTACATGAACGCAAACACAGGCTAAAGAGGAAAATATATGAAATACAGAATTGCACAACAAGAAACACCACACCCATGATCATTAATGAAAAGGACTGAAACTATCATGAACAATTACTAATAAAAAGGTTCTGTTTCTGCACTTCTGTACAGAAAAAAGGCTTTCTGCCTCATCACATATCATGAACAATTACTAATAAAAAAGAAAAGAAAAGAAAAGAAAGAAACTATCATGAACGATTGAAACTCTTATGGGTTTAAGGGCACCCCAGGCCTTGACCATTTGAGGCCTGTGAAAGGGATATATGAGCTTATTGGTCGGTTAGATGTATAGACTCTAGAGGCCTGCAAAAGGGAGATATCAGCTAATGTCAAACATTGAGTTAGGTTCTCATGCCCCTGTTCTCTTCCAGCATTTCCCTAAACAAGGACAGGACAATATTACACGTCCAGCTACTTGGTTTCTTACCAGTGACCACCATCAAAAGCCCAGTGTAATGTGGGCAAACCTAATGCTCTTACAAATATCCAAATACACACCTACAATCATTTTGATATTGTACAGACTGCACCATTTGGAAATGTTCACATAAATCCACGATTAACCATATTTCCACTCTAGCTATCTTAAACCTTATTATCTAGTTTGTACATCATTACTCCACCAGGTTTAAAAGTGATTCAACATCAAAACTTTCATACTCCAACCAATATTCTATCGGCAAAGAAAATCAATTAATATTATCCTCAAGCTCCTTAATTTATGTAGGCGAACATTTTATTTACGAAGAATCAACTATCACCAAAATATATCATGTTTCCTTCTGTAACACCGAAATAACATGTGGATACTTGTGACAAAAATAATTATGTTTCTTGATCTAATTCACCACAGTAGCAACATTCTATTGTATCAGGAATGGAAACAGGCCAATGAGGTATAAAAGGTTGAGCCTGGATTTTTCAAGCCTCAACAGAAGAAAACATGGTTTTAGAGATCCCTCCAAAAAAACAAATACTAAGGGGAACAAGACAAAAAAATTATGGAAAGAAATAAGCAACACTATAAGTAGGTTCTGCCCAAAAATATCATCAGTAAACATGTAGCTATCAAGTTCTTATCAGGCAGAAACCAGGATACATGGGCATCAGCTATGGGGATACCAAGGATCAACTGGTTCATGTGAACAGAAGCCAGATCAATCCTGAGTTCTTGATACGACCACAGGCTGAGTAGTTACAGAAGCAAGTAACTGGTGATCTTGTTCCACTTTTTGCAAAGGTATGTGAGTCACGTTCTTCAATGCTGGGATAAGTGCCATAAAAAGTTAACAACACAAGACTCATTATTGCACTTGGGATCCTACACTTACAATGATTGCCTTCTACGATGTAGGTCAAGAAGCCTGGACCAAAACACTGAAAATAATGTAAAAACAATACCTATCAATCAAAAGAAATGTAAAAATAAGTACAGATGAATTGCAGCATAGTTTGAACTGAGGGAATGATCCATTTCAACACCTCACAAGTTGCAATGCACATTGGGTGGATGGAGGTGGAGAACAGTAAAGATGGTTTATCATTAATTCAGAAGTTCATATTCCCTAGACAGCAAAAAACCCAGCATTGAACCTCAAACTCCAATTGATTGTGAGAGTTCCTTCCATCTCAGAAGAAATACCAACAACCTTTTGAAGGACCAAAAAATATAAGAAGCATCAACGGAAGAAAAGGATATAACACAGATTGAAAGAAGTGGAAAAAATGGTCAGCATAAACTGCAATTCCAATAAAAAATTAAGCAATTTAATTGTATTCCTTTAGAAAAACCAGCTCATAATGCTTTCAAATTATTATTTTTTTCACATGCTTCATCATTCTAAACATCTCAATAAAATTTCATTTGAAAATTCCAACCCTACACTCAGTTCTTGAATTTTTTAATCACTTCATAGAGAATTTGTAATTCTCAACAATTTTATACAGGACATATTCAATTAGTCTCAAGTCTCAATCCTTTCCCTTAATCATAAATTAATTATTGCAGCCTTCCTAGCTAATCCATGCCCCTAGACTGATCCTTGGTTTGTTCTGGTCCCACATCTCTTCATATCAGACCTATCAGCCCTTAATTAAATAGTGTCTGTGCAGGCTCTCCTACATCAGTTGGTATCTGAGCAGCCAATGCAGGCATTATGATCTGATATGTAAAGAGGAAAAATGTATTCATGAACCATCATTATTTAGAATGCTTTTCCAAACTATTAACATAATACCCAGGTCACTAGACTCAATCATACAGTGGCACTTAATTCAGACCTTTAACTTCACATTCAACATAGAAAAGGTATATTACCTTAACAACAAAGTTCACGAGGTTCCACAAGGATATACAATGGTTTTCCATTTAGACGACGTTCTCCCTGCAAATTTTAACATATGAAATCAGTCTACAAATCACAACCTAAGCAATCTCAGAGGAGAAGCATAATATCAACAAATTGCTTAACATATACTGGCAAATAGCCACAAAAGTGTTCCTGCATATTTGTTTTTCAATAATAACCAAAAAAATGAAGAAACTCAATGCACAGATCGAAGACAATGCTGGCTCTTAGAAGGAAAATAAAAGGAATAAGCTAACTTTAATATTCAAAACATCTTTATCTTAGAAGCAAAAGCTATAGCCTCTCTAATCAAATAACAGGAGTCATAAACAAAACCTTGCCAATATTCAAGCTGTGCCATATTACTAATCTTTCAAGCCCAAATTAATGAAAAAATATTAATTCAAGAAAGTATACCCTATAGAATACTTCAAGATCTTTACCTGAAGCACTATATACATTATTGTTCCTAATCAATAAATGCACTTCCAGTAGAGATGGGATTGAAGTCCCAATGGAGCAGGCCCCAAATTAAGTTTGATAATTATATCCAATGCTAATCGTCACATTACCATATGTAACATCAAGAAGTAGCCTATCACACAGACACTGCCTAAAGGGCCCATCTGGGAGCAAGCAAACACTATCAAGATTTTACCAAAAATGGAGTAAAGGATGGCAATATTACAATTAGAGCCAAAATTTGAAACAAATACAAGATTTCTACATTTGTCAAAAACCTACATGGTCAAAAGATTTCGTAGTGGTTGTTATTTGTTGAAGCAGGGAAATGATCCATGCAGGAAATCTCCACAGCAATTAACAAAAGACCCACTATTTGATGTAACACAGATGACTGACATTTTAACTAGGAAAGTTCTTATGTCTCTTGGATCTTAGAGTGTCAAATTCAATTACCACTAAATTACCCTAGTCCTCAAAGATGAATCCACACCTATAACAGGATAACAAAAATTAAACTAGTATTAAATTATTTCTTACTTACATGAGCACACCTACAAATAATATCATTCAATACTAATCAGCATAAGATTACCCAAAGAAATTTCTTGTTCAGTGATACTGAATTACTAATGAAAACCAAGAGTGCTAATAAAATGGCTTTTCATGAGCATCTTCAATACACTAAATGGAATTGACAAGTACAATAGCTACTGACCAAATTCAAGATTGAGAACATTTTGACATAAAAAAGTGAGATAAATTGAAAACGTGTATACTGTTTTTGCATTACCTTATTCTCAGGTAATCCAATAACGCATGCACACTCAACCACTTCAGCTCCCACACGTTCTAGTAAAACAGCAATTCCATGCAGATGCAGTTTGTTAGAAAGAGAGAGAGAGAGAGAGAGAGAGAGAGAGAGAGAGAGAGAGAGAGAAAATACTTTATTGGTGAACAAGGAACAATAGAATAAAACACAAACATGGTTGACAAGGCATCACCTAGGTGCTCTCAAAGGCAAGAAAGTTCCTTTGGCTAGGCACCTTGCCTGAATGCAATGGCTTGTCTAAAATGCATCCATCCAAGCAGCCTAGGCCTTCACTTTAGAGAACAAAACCACAACAAAGATTCCTTTTTGTAATAAAACTGCTACACAGCTGCAAATTCTTACCATGCCTGTCTATAAAACATATCATATATATTACTTAAGTTTTGTTTTAAGGATTTTACCAGAAAACATAAAAGATCCAAAGGTTTTAAGAAGAGAAAAAGTAGAAAAGAAAGAGTTTTCTTCTTTGTTCTACAGTCCCTCTTCCTTACATTAAGAAGAAAAAAGGGGCTCTGCTCCTTGTTCTCTTTCTTTTTTATTACTCTTCTAGAATATATTTTATTGACATAAACCACAAAATAATAGCCTTTTTTAGTTGCTAATATTTTCGTTACTTGTAATTGCTATATTAAACATTTTCAATGTTATAATGTTTTTTTGTCAATTCGGTTGATTGGTATATAAAATTAGGGAACTAATTTAGTTTTCTCCTTGTAAAATTGTATCTCATAGGTGACACCTAAGTACCTACCTAGATGACCAGGCATTCTATTATTGCCTAGAATCACCTGGATGCCTAAATAAGTATGAGCACAAGGCATGTAGAATCCAATAATGGCATCCAAAATCTTACCTAGAAGTCGTATTGCTGCTGAAAGGGTCCCCCCAGTAGCTACCAAATCATCAATGACTAATGCTCGTTCCCCAGGCTGAACAGCCCCAACATGCATTTCTAGACAGTCAGTTCCATATTCTAGCACATAAGCTTCAGAGATTACTTCACCTATAGATGCAAATTTCTTAAGGGTTAACAAAACAATCTTCATCATTATTGACTAATAAATTTGGCAGATTTCAGACATTGAAGATGGTAGATGGGGCAGAAGAAGAAAAAATATAAGGAGATGCACATCATTCAATTAAAACAACAAAAATTGGAGTACAACCAGCATGTGAACTGAGGGAAAAATGTCTCAATCAAAAAACCACCAAGAGCAAAGGATGAAGATGCAAATTAATTGTTATAAACAGAGACAGAGTACAAGGCCCCAGCAGCACATCTGGACATTGTTAATGAAAACACTGAAATGTATATCAGCATTGCCCATTAATAAAAACAGAAATTCATATCAGCAACTATGTATTACAGAAATAAAACAGAGCAGTACTAGTATCAGAGAGACTGACCTTTTAAATCGCAAAAGGACAGAATTAAACAGGGATTTAGGCAAATAGACAAGGATAAGGGTTAATTATGTCCTCTTGTGATTTAAGGTAACCATTGGTGACATACTGACAATAGCATTGATCAATAAATGATATAGATAGGCATCCATATAAGTGAAAACAAATAGACCAAATTATATAAATAGGCAACATTACTACCCCCAAACAGGTGATAAATTGAAATGAATGAGCAATAAAAGCCCCAGTAATCTCCACAGGTAAAGGTGTTAAATATTATGTGACATGCATTTAATAAGGCAAATATTTTGTTCTAAGAGACCACATAAGAAGGAGACATAAATGAAACTTCTACATGAAGAAACCTAAGAACACTTCATCTTCATTTACTGAATGCATGTAAAGCTGTCTTCAACAGAAAATTCTTGGCATTAAAATCTACAAAGTTGTCCAAAACTACTCCCATTCATTCAGAAAACATCATGCAAAAACTTGATATACCAATTGTGGTAAATAACAATGTAGGATTGAGAACAGAGGCCATTGATGTGATATCTTCCCAGTTTCTGAACTTTGAATAAATGGATTTTTCCTGTGCTACTGGATCAAAGTCAAAGAAGACATACATACCTGGCAACTTTCTAGGTTTGCGTAAAGGAACAAACTTTGCACCGATAGCCAAGGCAATTGAAGGACCAAACATGAATCCTCTAGCTTCCACTCCTACAAATTATTTTGTTTAGTGTTGGCAAGTCTCAAATATTGAAGTAACAAAATAAATGATCACAGACAGAGACAGTATTGCTCCAAGATTTCTAACTAGATTGCATCTCATAACCACCATTGAAGAAAGCATTTGGGATCAGTCCCCACCATAACCCACATACCCAGAACCCATCTCCATTTGATACATCATTTCCATAGACCAACTTGCTCATGCATCTGAGATTCAGGGAACTCTCGAAAACAGGGTTCAGAGACTCAGCACTTCAGCAGTATATTTATTTGAACATGAAGAATAATGAATTGCATAAAACAAGCATAACATGATTAAGCTTAAGTCTTCTGAAATCCATTAATGCACCAACAGACAGAGAAGGGCACAAACAAATGAAACAATGTCATGTTTTCCGCCTGGAAACACTCCAGAAAGATTTGGGTTGGAAATACAAAACGTAGTAATAGATGCCATGCAACATAGTTGACAACCAGCCTGCTCCACCACATAAGGTGTCATATCACCAACGCCATTAACGGATGGCTTGTCTGGTTCTTGACTGCCGTGTCCTGGACAGAAGTTCGAATAGGCCCGATACAGGATTAATTAATTAAATCAAATGAAAAAAAAGAAACAGAAAAAGAAAAAGGAAAGAAGAGGTTAATTGTTAAATTAGCAGTGGGCCAGTGGCTGTCCTGTCATGAGGCTATGAAATTCAAGGAACCTGGTTACTGACCTATTGTACGGCCATGGGAATACGTGACTTGCCACGTCATCCGTCCACGTGGCAAAGATCCCTAGACGACCCTCCACTTTTACATGTGCACCAACCAAATTTATATGCATCATGCTTGGATAGCAATCAGCATCGTTTCGGGTGATCTGGTTTGGGTTTAGGTCGCTACTGAGCGTGTCCATGTTTCATTGGACGGTCGCAAGGATTTACTGCGATGATGGTCGCAGCTGATGCGAGCTCAGCGGTAAATATCCGAACAATCAAATCAGAAACAATTAAGGCCATGACAACATTAACATTATTAATAGAAGAAGCGTTTTGATGCTCCTCAGACTGATGACCTCGAAGTGCAGAGGTCATTCACGGTCACGGATTAGAAACTTCAACTCAGAGTCGTTCCAAATCTTCTTCTTTTTCTTCTTCTTCTTCTTCTTCTTCTTCTTCGTTAGAATAATAAAAATAAAACCAGACAAGGTTGCAGGTATTTCCATTCGATCCAGCTATCAGACCAAAAGAGGAGAATTAAAGAAGAAAATAAAATGTCTGATAAAAAAGGCAAGCATGCAAATGGAAGAAACAAACCAGATAAAACCAAAGTGAGAAGAAAAATATCTTGAGATAAGTTATACATGGCAGAAGTAGACTAAACTTAGAAAATGTCGAGAGTAGGAAAAAGGCGAAACAGGACAAAGAAACAAACATGCAACCCAATTCTCATAAGCTCCTGGTTTAATACATTTTTCTTTTAGGGAAAAAGCAGTAGACCCACCAAATTTTGAATCAGTCCACAATAAGATTTTGAAATAGAAAAAGAAAAATCAAATTTTACACAGAACCCACAGTTCTCAGCAGTGGGGGAGGGGGACCCAAGTGACTAAAATAGAGAGGAGTGTGTGTCTGTGATGATGCAAGAAAGGAAGAGCCAGAGAGCAATACCAGCGACAACGGAGATGTCCATGTCTCTGTAACGATCAACAAATATGTCAACAGTATCCTTGAATGCCTTGTGATCGAGTAACAGCGTCGTTATATCTTGAAACATGATTCCTGAAACACAAAGCCACGATAAAAGAAAAAAAAAAAGAAAAAAAGATCAGAAGAGAGAGAACACTCAAAAACAGAGCTGTTCGATTAAAGCTCCACGAAGTAACAATAGAACAAGGAAGTACAACAAAAGCCAGCTAAAGACCTGGTTTGGGGAAGTGAGGAACGACTCGAATCGCTTCAGAGATAGCCTGCAGCCTTGGGTCTCCCCGTAGTCCGTTCTCGCCTGCAAACATCTCCCCTCTCCGTCTCTCTGTCTCTCTCCTCTGTGTGTCTGTGTATCTCTCACTCGTGCCTTTACAGGTTTTCCCTCCAAACTCTCTCTATCGTCTCAACTCTCAAATCTATCTCAATGAGAGACGAAGAAGTCGAGTAATTGGGTACTTTAAAAAACAATACTTTTGTTGGGGAAGGCACTGCTGCAGAAGATCTGAGTGCTCAGTGTCTATAAATCCTTTTTCTTATTATTGATTTTCCAGAATGAGAATATATCACGTCTATCAACGTCTGAGTTATATTGTTATGATTGACATCTCAGAGAAATCATCAATAGATCTCTCCCGATCTGGACCGTTTAAAGACACAAGAGAACCGTCTGATCGCCATATTTACTGCAGTTTCCTGCATCTCAAGGGGCCCACATTCTTGATATGCATCAGATGTGCTGTAAATCTGTAGCCTGCTGAAGTGTATGATACTGGTGCGGAGTATCAGAAGCTGCATGATGCATCGGTGTTATGACATATTTGGTCTTTTCAGAAAAACGAGGTAAGGGTATTTCAGACATTTGACCGATTACGGCTGTTGGATGACAGAGAAAATCAAGTGGCAGAAGATCCGGGATTTTGGTGGGACCCATCATCCCCTTCCGCTGAAGACCTGCTGACGTGGCATTGAGTAATCCATATACTTTTATTGCCTCGTCAAATTATGCAGTGGCTTGCAGATAGTAAGTTGTACACGTGGTCTGCATCCAAAGAAAGAGCCGGCAGACTGTTCCGGGCGATCCTGATCGATCTTCACGACTGTGGATCCCAATCGGACAGTCAGAGGATTCGATCAGACATGTCGCCGAGCATTAATGTCGGCCACTGGATCTAGATACCACCCACCGGATGCAGCATAATCCTCTAGTACACTATCACTGTGTTTACTTCATGGGTGGTAGTAAGTAGGCTCAAGCCTGGCACAACTTGCCAAGCCATTATAAATCCATTGGAATTGGTTAAAGGGGGCCCACCAAAGATTTAGATCTTTTTTCTTTTGAAATTTGGGGTTGGTGCATTAACGTAACAAACATTCCTAGGTGTGGTGTGGGTCCCGTTGGCCGGACCACATGTGCGGTGTTGATCTCTTTCTTGATGGAATGTGCGGTGTTGATAGAGGCACCATAAATGATGGATTGTGAGGTGGGTACCACATTAATACTGGGCTGATAAAAATACATAGAGCACAGAGAGAGAGAGAGAGTAGCACATTGATTGAGACGGCTCATCAGTGGCCCACCTATAAAAGAACCCATAATTTTTCCAGGTCACGCTAATAGGATAATTACAGTCACGTTGCTTTCGAATTTATTGACTGCACATATACAAAAAAAAAAAATTGTAGATCAAACGGTCATGATTTTTCAATTTGATGGTCTTTGACGTGATATATTTGACCATATTCTCCGAATTATGCTCAATAATGAAATCCCTATACTTGGCCTTTGCTTGTATGACAGAGCATCCAAAGACGCTGAGGCTTCAAAACTAAAGCCCAATTTCATAGGGGGCAACCACCTAAAACCCTAAGTGTCTGTTTGGTAAGGCTATTTATATCACGAATTTGATTCATACAAAAGTTTATAACCAATCATCATCATAATCATGTGGGCCTTACCCCAACCATATGGGTCATCTTTAAAAAAACTGTATGAGGTCCACTACATGAATCTTATATCATTATTTTGTTTTGATTAGTGTCGTATCCATCACTAAAATATGAATTCTTAAATTAGTTCTTATTAATTCTACCCGTATTCTTTTTGGCCTACCCATAAATTCTTCTAGTAAAACAGACTTGGTAGATGTTTTTTCATGCACGTAATAAAACCATCTCATCTACTTTTTTTGATTCTATCACCTACTGCAATTACTTTTAAATTCTTTAGGTTGTGTTTGGAAACGATGCAAACGAAGTGTAAACCCCAGTTAAGGGTAAATTTACACTCTGGTTTACTTTTGTTTGTATTTGACAACATTACATTTATGCATTAAAAAATGACTAACCAATGCATATTTACATTAATAATAAAATGTAAAAGTACATCAATAAAAAATAAGTAAATTTACATTCAAGTGAGTTTTTGATTTTAAAAAAAAAACATATGCTTTATTGGAATTCATGTTTGCATCCATTACAGCTAAAAATTTGTTTGGTAATAAAGTATATTTGTCAATGCAAAACTAACTCAAATTTACAATTTATATGAACAATTTTATACTTTACATATTTGCATTCACACTTATCTGCATCATTTCCAAACGCAGACTTAGGATCACTTTATTTATGGCTCTCTCTCTTTTCTAACTTTTACCATTCATCCAAAAAAAAAATTTTACGAGCTTTGCTTAGAAAAAAAAAATATATAAATTTGAAGAGCCAAGTTTGACCATTGCATGACTATCCCAATAATCCTCTTTCGTTATCTAAAAAAATAAAGAAAATTTAAAATAATAAAAGAACACTTTTAACTTGTACATATAAAATAATAAAATATTGAATTTATTAACGTTATATAATTGTTTGCATTATCCATGAAAATGCAAGTATATAATATGTATATTATACTATTTAGTCAGACACGGATCTTAATCATATTGAGTGTAGCCAAGATTTGAATACGATCCAATTATATAGATCAGTGATTTGAACAAAAAAAAAAAAAATCGAATCATGTGTCATTATATTGGGTCTCGAACTTCCAAGGTTCATTGACAGTCCTACTTGTAAGAAGATGTGTGTGTGGGGTTGTGTGTGTATATGCATATTATATATGTGTGTGCATAAAGATTCAAAATATTGATACGTGTTGACTCGTATCAATTGATATGTATCGTATTAGAGCCTTTTCGATACACCTCTACAAGAGGTGTTTTGGATCAACAGGTGATTCAGTGAATAAACCGGCCCTTTTAAATAAGATTCAAAAAAAAAAAAAAAAAGAATACCGATACAGGCTGATACACCCTACAGGCATATCGCCCCATATCTATACTTTGAAGTTTGAACCTTGTGTGCATGCAGCAGTCAGACGTTTCCCATGCATCGATGCGCTTTGCTATTGTATTTATATAGTTTAATGCATGTGTGAATGAAGAATAATGGATATTGTTAATGGTTATTCTCTGTTTTATTATGTTTTCCTGTTAATAGTAGTTTAATGTTACACAAGTACACATTAGCAATAATCAATTACTATTTTCTCTAAACAAAGATCTAACTATCACATCCAGCAACACAATATTGTACCAGGAAAAAGAACACGATAGGCATTGTTTTTGCTACTGTTTAGTTGCAAATTGACAAATTATAACTCCATTCCTCCAAACTGGGACTAAAGACAACAGTATAACTGAAATTATAACGGAAAATACTGTTTCAACGGAGGTTAAATTAAAAGATGTAAAAAAAAAAAAAGGTGTTAGGGAGGGCACAAGGTCACTTCAAATACTGGACCCGGGTTAGATGGAAGGAAGAAGGCAGCTGGGGTCACCGGCAGGTGATAGAATTCAAAGTTAAAGCCACATAAATTCGACAAGTCGGGTGGGTGGGGCAGAGACACCAGATTTCGAACCCGAGATAAAACAAGAGGATGGAATGACTGGTACGCAAAGCCATTTAAAGTGGGCTGTTCCCTGTGCCACAGCCCCTCTTTGCTTTTCCCAACAGCACCAAAGGATCGGTGTTGATTCGATTGTCGGGTGTCGTGGCACTCGCCGATGGAACTGAACCCACCGAATCTAAGTGTTTTCTCAAAAAATAGATTTGTGAGAAAACGATATCGATCCCAAACACATGCTAGATTGGTCTTTTTTTTTTTTTTTTCCTTTCCATATCAATGAGAAAATCTTTGCTTTGATACCGGGAATGGATGGTATTGGAATAGCTTTGACCAATTGATTAGCTCTAAATTTTTTTCGGTATCATATCTTTTTTTTTTTTTTGTATTAGCCAAACCCTAATATAAATATTTAGCCAGAATATAATTAGGGATTCTGATTTTCTTGCAATTTTTGTTATATTTTTTATGTATAAAAGGGGGAATTTTATAGATAATATATAAAGGCTACCTTTTAGGGTGATTCTCTAACAAGTTTTTTCTTTTCCTTCTTTTCCATGTTGTGGAAGTCAAAAGCGAATAAAAAAATGTTTTGGTAAAATAGTTTAAGGGAGTATTTCTCCGACAGGCTTTTGTGATTTTTTTCACATTATGGACCCAACCCATTGGAGAGATGATTTCTATAATTCTATTATCCCAAATGTTGAAAAAACCAACCATGCACCTCTAGTGTACTAATAATATGGATATGATATGCACAATAATGGCATGGTCCACGGCCCGTGCCAGTCCTAGTATGACCATGCGGACTGTGTTGGAGTTGGGGTTTTAGGTCTACAGGCTGGGTTGATACGACACGATCCATATATGTTATTGATATATATTGATATATATTTATATATATAATATTATATAATTATAATTTTATATTAATATATAACATATAATATATTAATAAAATAAATATTTTTTAATTTTATTATACTAATTTATTTAATTATATCATGTATAAGCAATTATATACATCAAAATTCATATAAATTAAAATTTTAAGTTTTTTATCAATTTTTTAAATAAATAGCATTGGCCCGATGCACGATTCGACTTGGCCCAAGGTTCGGCCTATGGGATGACACAGGCCCACACGGGCTTGGGCCATGGGCCATGCTGGGCCGACCCCCCAAGTTATCCTAGGGGAGGGCAACACGGCCTGCGGGCCACCCGTGTCATGCCAGCTCGGCACGGCCCGTTTTACACCTCTATATCAATATATAATCCTTACCAATAGGTTTTTCTATGCTTTATACGTTGCAGAAGTTAAAATCGGTCTAAAAACATTGTTGAAATAGCTATAGATGTTTTTTTTTTCATCAAAAAGCCCATTTTAAAAGCAAAATAAAGACTCCATCTAACTTTTATGTTTGCAAGAAGGCATTTTAAATAAATAAATAAATAAATAAAAGACAACAACCATCTAAACATTAGAAAATCACTTAAAAAAGTGGCTTTTTTAGAAGTTCATTTGGGCCAAAAGGCACTCCCAAATGCGGCCTAGCTAAGATAATTTTAGTCAAAAACATTTGTTTTATCAACATATTAGGGGATTTAGTA